TAATATTAAGAAAGTAAATTTACATCAAGAATATCTTAGACATCTTATTCATGAAAATACACAGACATTCCACACACAATAATAACAAAATAGATGTATATTACGTGCGTACAACTTCCGCTTACCTCGTTCGTGAGGGTACGTTTTTCGCTCCAACAGCGATAGCCAATTTCACATCATATTATCAACAATCACGAACTGATTACCGTCTCGTTTTCCATGGACTGCTAGTTTACAGTAGCTTCGGTAAAAATGTGTGTGAATTTAAATGGCTTGCTTATTTCACCTCATTCCATGCGCGTACAACTTCCGCTTACCACGCTCATGTGGGTCCGTATAACCTTAGTGTTGATTATAAATACATGTAGTTTACATTTATAAAGCAGAACCTGTAATTAAAATTACACAATGCTAGGATATATTTCGTTGGGTTAAATAATAGTTTCATTTTACTGATCACTGCGTCAGAATTCATCTGTTACATTATTATGTATGTTTTAACTAGATCATAGGGTTTACACTATGTTCACTCTATCTTCCTCCACCCTCAACCTGTCCGCCTATCAGATCTTCAGAACTTGTATGATCAACTCCCGAAACCCTGCATAATCATGGGCGACCTGAACGGCCATAACCCCCATGGGGGAGTTTCGATACAAACAACAAGGGAAAGGTCCTTGAAGAGTTTCTCTCCAATAATGATCTATGCATCTTCAACGATGGATCAAACATTTATCTCCTTCCTGCCACTGGAACATACTCTGCTCTTGATCTATCACTTACAGATTCTAACCTTTTAAACGAGTTTGAATGGTCGTTCCACGATGACCTTTGTGGAAGTGACCACTTCCCAACTATTCTTACTCTGGTCAATCCCGCAGATGAACCACCTTCAACCAGGTGGAATTTTACTAAGGTCAATTGGCCATTATTCCAAACTCTCTGCTCTGAGAAACTTATACCAGACAATTTCAGGAATGTTCCTGATTCCATGGAACTATTTTCTGATATCTTAAATAATATTGGAGACGAAACCATTCCTTAGTCCTCTGCAAACCCGAACATACGCAAACCATGGTTTGATACAAACTGTAAACAAGCTAGGAAAATGAAAGAAGGCGGAAAAGTACTTCCGACAACATCCTACTGTACATAACCTGAATGCCGTTAAAATGACGAATACCAGGGCAAGACGTACCTTTAAACAAACTTAACGTCGATCATGGAGGAAATATGTGTCCAAAATCAACTCCCGCACACCCATGTCCAAGGTGTGGAACATGATTCAAAAGATTAGGGGCAAAGGATCAAAATCTGGTGTTCGCCATCTCAAAGATGGTGACTCTCTTTTAACAAATAAATTTGAAATTGCAAACAAACTTGGCGAAACTTTGGCAAACCACTCCTCCTCGTCAAATTATAACTCTCAGTTCCAGAAATACCAAACCCAACAAGAAAAGAAATCAGCCAATTTTAACTCTAATAATGGAGAGGATTACAATGAAACGTTTTCTCTCTATGAATTACGTACTGCCCTGGGGCAGGCTCACGACACTGCGGCAGGAGCTGATGATATTCATTATCAGCTTCTGAAACACCTCCCTGATTCAAGTTTGGAAACACTACTCAATATATGTGATGATATTTGGACAACCGGAAACTTTCCTCCTTCGTGGCACAATGCCATTATCATCCCTATACCAAAGCCTGGCCGGGATCATACTGATCCCTCAAACTACCGTCCTATATCACTAACTAGCTGTGTTTGTAAAACCATGGAGCGCATGGTCAACAATCGATTAATCTGGTACTTGGAGACCAATAACCTCCTTAGTGACCTCCAATGTGGTTTCCGAAAGCACCGAAGTACCATTGATCATTTGGTGCGTCTGGAATCATTTATCAAAAATTCCATTGTCAACAAACAACATACTGTATCTATCTTTTTCGACTTAGAAAAAGCATATGATAAAACGTGGAAACATCTTTAAAGATTTACATGAATTTGGATTGAGGGGTACATTATCTCAGTTCATATCTCAGTTTTTAAACAACAGACAATTTCAAGTACGGGTGGGTTCCACATTGTCGGATTATTTCCATCAAGATGAGGGCGTCCCTCAAGGCAGCATCCTATCTGTCACCCTTTTCAGCATCAAAATTAACAGCCTCACTAACGTATTGAACAGTTGTGTTGATGGGTCCCTTTTAGTGGATGATTTCAATATTTCATGCCGTGGTAAGAACATGCACACAATAGAAAGGCAGCTACAACTCTGCCTTAACAAAATCCAAAAGTGGGCCAATGAGATTGGCTTGAAGTTTTCAAAATCCAAAACAAATTTTATTCACTTTGGTCGTAAATACAAACCACACAAGGATCCAGATATATCTTAAGATGGTACTTCCATCAAGGTAGTAGAAGAAGTAAAATTCCTGGGACTCATATTCGACCGTCACTTGACATTCTTACCACACATAAATATTTAATAACAATGTGCTTGAAGGCTCTGAAAACAAAGTGCTTGAAGACTCTGGACTTACTAAAATGTCGTTTCAAATACAGAACGGGGAGGGGATCAGACTACCCTCCTTCACTTGTACAGATCTTTGCTTCGCTCTAAACTAGATTACGGCTCCATTGTTTATGGTGGAGCCTGCAAAAGCAATTTAGAAAAAATAGATTCTATCCACCACCATGGCCTGAGGCTCTGTCTGGGAGCTATTATGACCTCCCCAATAGACAGTCTATGTACGGAGGCGATTGAAACTTCCCTTGAACAACGCCGGATTAAACTTTCACTACAGTATATCACTAAATTACGTTCAAATGAGTCCAATCCAGCATACAATTGTGTTTTAAATCCCCTCTATGAAAACCTGTTTCCTAATCTGCCAAGCCTGGTTCCACCACTTGGAATCAGAATTCAACCACACATATCTGCAGCTAAAATTGATCTCAATATCATAGCACCTTACCGACTATCTTCGCCACCGTGGCAGATGGTGAAACCACAGGTCGACCTTACCCTCACTAAACTCAAAAAAGTTCGAAACAAACCCTTTGGTGTTCCAACAGGAATACAACCAGTTACGTTCCAAGTATAACACCCATTGATCCATTTTCAATCCAAGAATGATGACCGAGTTGCCAGTGCTACAGTCATTGGATCCAATTCTGTCTCCTCCAGAATTCCCGACAACAGTTCCATTATCACTGCTGAGGCCAAAGCTATCTTCACAGCTTTGACTTATATTAAACAGCAGAACCATTCCAAAAACTTCATCGTTTTTACAGATTCATTATCTTGCCTTCAAGCACTTCAAAATGTCATCCTATCATCCTGGACATCTCAGAACTTGACAACGACCTTGCTACTGGCCAATGTGACATCGTCCTCTGCTGGTTGCTGGGGTCACGTCGGCATAGCAGGTAACACAAAGGCCGATGCTGAAGCGAAAGCAGCTCTTGACAAGCCCTTATCTCCACTGCAGATCCCATACAGTGATTTCAAACCCACTATCAAAGTTATACTCGGGACCTCATGTAAAAAAGGTGGGACACCCAAGTAGGAAGAAATAAACTTCATCTTTTGGTTATACCTGCAAGTTGTCAGTCATGCACATTATGATGCGATGTGAAATCTGGTTTACATCTGTTTTCCTGAAAACGTGTGAGGACGGGCATCTCTTTGTTGAAAACTACCTTGAGGGAAGTTGAGTGCAAGTGTATCATCAATTGTAACTATATAATGTGAACAACGAGGGAAGCTTGCTTTAACTATGTTTAATTAACAAATATGACATCTTCTGCTTTTGAATAAGAATGTGATGAATATATGACTGTGTTTTGAAACTAAAACTCATTTACATTTATAAACTAAAACTGTTTTGGACTTTGTACTTGATATATCCATGAATACAGACTTGTTCTCGTCACTATATGGCTGGAATAATGCCGATGTGACGTAAAGCCCAACTCAACTCAACTCATACTTTGAAACTTTTGATTCCTTTGTGAAGATCTGGGTTAGAATTGATCTTCAGTAACCCATGCTTGTCGTAAGAGGCGAATAACGGGATCGGGTGGTCAGGCTCGCTGACTTGGTTGATACATGTCATTGTATCCGAAATTGCGTAGATCAATACTCTTGCTGTTGATCACTGGATTGTCTGGTACATACTCAATTATTTACAGACTGCCGTCGCAGAGCTGGGATATTGCTCAGTGCGACGTAAAACTAAACTCGATGCTCATGCTGTTGATCACGGGATTGTCTGGTCCAGACTCAATTATTTACAGACTGCCGCCGTAGAGCTGGGATATTGCTGAGTGCGGCGTAAAACTAAACTCACTCACTTTAAGGAAAGTTACACGAACTGCTGCGGGGCCCATGGAGAAAAATGACGGAACTTTCCTCGAACGAGTCACGACTGACGGATATGAAGGTCAGATTGTCTTGGAAAACAACAATAACAAAATGTAACACTCAGCTCGGAGAGTTAAAAAACATTTAATTGAATAGTTTATACAGCACATATGGTGTTATTCAGAGCGAGTTACGTGTTGAAATGCTTATATATCAATGAACTTGCTTTATCATGAGTATGTGTCAAGTCTCGAACTTCCCACCCCGAGTACTCGAGTTTCACGCCCCAGGTGCTCAAGATAAAATTAAAGGACCCGTTGAATGCCTGTGAGCTATTGTGCCACAGATAGACCAAAATCCAACATATTTTCGTTCACTGAGCACGTGTCAGCAGTCGATATTCGGTGTAATGCCAGAAAATGGCAACTTGAAATGTATCCACAAAGATTAGTACTTAATAATGTTTATCGATGACAAAGTTTATACAACTGATAGGCTGTTTATACAATGACTACCAGTAAAGAAATCTTCAGGCCCCTAGTTAACAAACATCATCTGGACATTTCCTTTCCAACTTTGTCGCGGTGTTGACGGATCATATTTCATAGGGATTATGTAAACGAGGCACCGGCGAGATTGAGAGGCGGTGGAGATTTCCGGCACTTGAATTTGATTGTCAAGAGAATCACATAAACAAATGTCATCGTCGTGGGAGAATTGGGCAACTTCTTGCCTGACAACAGGAGCAGCCAAGCAGCAAGCATCTCATCACGCAGGGGTGTTCGGATTAGATGGTTCCGTATGGGGAGCGACAGACGAAGTCGCCAGAGAGGTAAGAATATGGCGCCACTGCCAGTGTTCACTTCTGTTCAAGTTTCTAAATGTGTATTCCTTATTTTCACTGAATGAAATATATCATGATAATCACAAGTGGATCATTATGGGGGACAATGTGCATTATTTGTGGTGCAATTTTAAGTTTGACTATTTGGAATTCCAAATATGAACTTGATTATTCTATCGCAGGCGACAGCTTAGGCTTTTAGATTGCCTGTCAAACGAGATCGCGTAATGGTGGCTTTATTGTTCGTTGTGTCATTGTCGCGGGTGCCAGCACATGAAACACAAACCCGGACTGGGCCCTGTTACAGTTGTGACACTTATTGTCATCACCACTTTCGGTCAGTAGTCGCTGTCACTATGTCACTGTCCGATCCCGTCGGGTTCGCCTTCGTAGCCCATAAGAAACTCTGAGTCATATCTGTGTTCCCGTGTCTGGTGTGAGTAAACAAGGGCTAAATGTATGTTTAATTTGTCAATCTTTGTAAGAAATAATGGTAAGAAGTAAATTTCAGCATTGAAATATTGCCACACACATAACAATAATTTTATGGTGTCCAGTTTAATGCAATGCATCTGTCCTTTCCATTTATGATGTGTCATGTTTGTTTATGCTCTGATAAACAGGTTTAATCCTGTTGACAGAGCTATTGTTGAGAAATGTTTGTGACTAGATAGGAAAGAGTAGTTCTGAAAAAGAGCCAGGGTTTATAATCATGAATTCATTGTAGGTATTGTCATGATGATCTTATCTTCCATGTCTGAGCAGAGACCATATATCTCTGGTCTGAGCTGTGCTCTTCTTTTGCAGACACACATTATTAAGTCCACTGATGGACTTATTCTGTTCTTAAAACTGAGTCTGAGCAGCAAAACATTGCTCTTACCATGATTTTCAGTAGATAATAATATTACCATATAGACGATTATCTATTAGCTGAGCATGCCATAGAGAATGTAACACGTTATATTTGGGATTACACCTTCTCAGTAAAGAACATAATCTATTACTTTTGTTGGGTTGAGTCCCGTCCAGGATTCGAACCCACACTCTCAGAGTCAGGCACCTAATCACCAGCACACAAAGTCAGCTGTCTAACCCACTCAGCCACCGCTGCTTCCACAGCGACTGTGTATGCTGTAGTAGTTATGAAATCACAGCTTAGCTTTCATTGTTATACATGAACAACATCTTGTTTTTTGTAGCATATGTTATATTTGGGATTACACTTTCTCAGTAAAGTACAGATTCTAGTACTTTTTGGGGGGTTGAGTCATTGTGTATTTCATCGTTTTTTGTATATGGTGTTGTATGATATATAATCGTGTCACATAATTACATAAGATTTATCAATTTCTAAAACAGTGATAATGTGTGGTGTGTTCAATGTATCTGTGTTTGGCTGGCAAATTGAAAAATTGCAAAGAAATCTTTCTGTGATAAAGATTTAGTGATTTGGTCTATTTACAAAGTTACCCTAATGATGACAGCCAAAAAAATCCTCAAAACAAGCAAACTGAAAGTTCTGTACATAATTTTAGAATGGAGTTGGATATCACGGTAAGTATTGTGTTATGAGGATTAGTAGTGTTCCAATTAATAGAGGTGGCGGGGGTAGCCTAGTGGTTAAAGCGTTGGCTCGTCCTTACTGAAAAAGAGTCTAACAAAACCTTGTGGAACGTCGCGTCAGGTAACCATTTCAATTGACCAATCAGAACACAGCTTACCAAATCGAAAAACTTAAGTTGACATTCGCACATACCTTTTGAACTTTTACCTCGAAATAGTTTTTTTGTACCCGAACGATTCGAATGCTATTTTCCGTGACGATCGCTTCGAGTGTGAGGCACATGGAGCACGCCACAACCGTGGAGTGAACAGTCGCTGAAAGTAGCGTTTTGTCAGTATTCAAGGATGTCAGCATACGGAAATATTAGCTAATGATAACCATGTCAACAGAAACCCAAAAGCATATATTCTGCAGGTCATAGATCTGTGTTTTATGCAGGTTTTGATTTGTTCGCGAGATCAGTGTTGGCGATCGGGGAAGAGTAAATCTATTTTGTAAGTCCCGTCGAACCCTGTATAGTAGCCGTTGTCTGATTGGTTAAATCCGTTCTGTCGCCTCGCGTTTGATTGGGCGGTCATATGTCAGCCCAAAGGTTTCCTGACGCGACCTTCCACAAAGACACACGGGCTTAGTTTTGTTAGACTCAGTATAGCAGTGTAACAAATAAAACTGAGCCTAAGTTTACTTAGACTGAGGAAAATCTGTAAAAAAAAGAAGGTAAGCAATTTTTTTCGATGATCGCTCATTTGTAATGAACCAATCATCAATTGTGAGATTTCAACCAATTCCCAACACTAATGAGGATGGTGAGGCCTTTGTTGCATGAGGTATTGCATAAATCTACCCCAAGGTAGATTTTGTAAACAGAATACTTCCTGCAGTAGAACATCAGAACCCCGCAGGTCGAATAACTTGCTATTTGCATTATTTATTGACTCATGTTGGAATTTGTCTTGAGCAAACTGTGCTTATCATAACAGCCTACTTAAAGGATCAAGTTATGAAACGTTTGACTTGGTGTATCCGTGGCAAAAGATCCTACTTACGTAAATCGATGCTCATGATATCAATCACTAAATATTTACAGACCTCCATCATTAAGCTGAGCTAAGTTAAACAGGAAACCAACAAAAGATGATACAGAATATTTGTAAATCTGTCAATAAAGGCCTATTTATGAAACCATTCTAAACACTTGGTTCATGTTTCAGATTCCAAAAGATTTTTTTATGACTGTGTCCACCATCATGTCTGGAGGTCCTGGAGCGGGCAAGCTGAAGATCAAAGACAAGTCGTACATCACAATTCGTTCTGATGCCAACCTCCTTATAGCCAAGAGTGGAGCTGGGGGGATGACTGTCAGCAAGAGCAAACAGAGTGAGGCCCATATGAGTTGACGATGTCGGCAGATTGTGCCAAATTGTTCTGATACTGCTATTGCTCCAGTCTCAATGATATCATGGTATGGGGTAGCCTAGTGGTTAAAGCATGCGCTCGTCATGCCGAAGACCCGGGTTCAATTCCCCACATGGGTACAATGTGTGAAACCCATTTCAGATGTCCCCTGCCGTGATATTGCTGGAATATTGCTAAAAGCGGCGTAAAACTAAACTCACTCACTCACTCAATGATATCAAATCTTTGTTTAGATATACTTCATCAGAGCTCCAGATAAGTTTTAGCTCATGTGGGTACTGTACCCACTGTATTTTTTTGGAGTGGGCATTATGAATGTTGAGTGGGTATTTCATTTTCCGTTACCCACTGCTTTCAAATATGTGCGTTTTTCAGTCAATTTACTTACCTAAGTATTATGTCATTGAGTAAGTTTACTAAGAAGGTATGTTCTGCCTTATGTCATACTTAATCAAAACCAACTTAAATATAATGGAAATGATTTCATAAAAAAATCACTCATCCTCATCCTATCCTATACTGTACAACTATCTAACATTTTAATCCATGTGTTTTATAAATATATTCCGGTTTGTTTTAAACTTTTTGTTATTTTTTAAATGCATAATTATATTTCAATGCGTAATTGGAGATTTTCTATGCATATTTTACCCAAATGTGCAGCTTATCTGGGCCTCTGCTTCATGTATGAGAAATGGTGGTCACATGATTACACCTGTGCAGCATGCAGAGGTACAGATATAAATGCACACGCATTTATTTACAGATTTCTATTCATTGATCGCATGTGGGCATCACACATACATGAGCTCTGGTTAATGCTTGTAAGGGGCACGTGTCTTGTATATTGTCAGTCATGTCACAATCAATAACCAGGATACAGTTAGAGATGAATTTATGCAAATGAAATATGTACTCACCTGGTACGACTAATGTTTGTTCCCTTCTTTCTTGCCTTGCTTTGTGGTTAAAGCGTATACTATTCACTCCTAAGATCCAGGTTCAATTCCCTACATGGGTACAATGGTTAAAGCCCATTTCTGGTGTCCCCTGCTCTGATATTGCTGGAATATTGCTAAAAGCGGCATGAAACCTTTCTGCGTCACTCTTGCTCTGCACATGCTGACACAAGTTGTTTAGATCAATGCTCATACTGTTAATCACTGGATTGTCTAGTCCAGACCCAATTATTTTCAACAGCATATAGCTGGAATATTGCTGAGTAAAGCGTTCAAACAAACAAAATAAAAAGGTCATCAGTTCAACCTTTCTGCATCACTCTTGCTCTGCACATGCTGACACAAGTTGTTTAGATCAATGCTCATACTGTTAATCACTGGATTGTCTAGTCCAGACCCAATTATTTTCAACAGCATATAGCTGGAATATTGCTGAGTAAAGCGTTCAAACAAACAAAATAAAAAGGTCATCAGTTCAACAGGACAAGTAGGTTTTGCAATCCCCAGATGGTATAATTACATTCAGTAATTCCTGCTTGCCTGTTTATGTTTTCAGCGTATGTTATTGGACTCTATGACGATGAATCTGTCCAACCTTCAAACAACTGTCTAGCTGTGACAAGTATCTGTGACGCACTCAAAGATTGTGGTTACTAAGCCAATGGCTGATGCTTGACAAGGTAGGACTACTCTGCATTTTAAAGATTTGTGTTAGCAGATTTTACGGAAAAAACATACACCAAGTTGGCAGTACAGTACAACTTTGTCATGTTGCTGAAATGATAATAATTGTGATAAGAGAAAGTTATGTGTACTAAATAAGGAAGTATAATCACTAATTTAGGGCTGTGTTTTGACAAATTGCATTGTAATATATTGCGTTTCAGGTATCCATATTGTGATACATATTGCGAATTATTGGGAGCTAAGAAATTAGTAAAAGTGTATTTGACATTGAGTGAATGTTTGTACATGCAGATCCCATTTTCTACATGCTAAGGCCCTAAAAATAAATGTGTTGGTTCTGATAATTGGTCATCTCAAAATTAGGTTGGATTGTCTATTTTCCTTTTTTCATACAATTGACTGTATGTTAGGTATGCCATTTAGTCGATTAATTACAAAAGGTAACATCAGTTGTGTAATATAGTCATTTCTAACTAAATCGATTGAGATAATCACATGACTTCATGTGTTTTTTACTGGTTCTAAGAAAAAATGTTGCAATACGTATCTTTTCAAAAGTGTATTGCAGTATATTGATATACTGTAATACTGTCCAGTGCATCCACTACGTGCAGAGCTGTGGGGAATTTGGTCCCCAGCAACCCATACTGTTCTCCCCATGGGGGTTCTGGGTAAGAATATAGGTCCCCACAGGGCTCCAGATAATTTTTCAACATCAGGAGTACTGGAAAACCCTAAATGTACATTTAGAGTACTGAATGGAATTTTTTGGAGTATAAGTAATCCTGTGTTTCGTTTCATATATGCACCACAACATTGCTACTCTTGTGTAAACAGGTCAATAAACAATAAAACAATACTTTTTCAGATAAATACGTCTGTAAATGATTCTAAGACCATACACCATTCCTGTGGTGCGTATCTGCTACGTTTTCTAAATTATTTCCTACCGTATCATGCATATTTTCTATCCGTACATACGCCGATACAGCCCTTATCTGGAGCCCTGTCCCCAACAAGCTATCCTGGTCTCCCCATGGGAGCTCTGGGTAAGAATATACTGGGTAGGTCCCCAGCAACCACAAGCTGGCCTCCCCATGGGAGCTCTGGGTAAGAATATACTGGGTAGGTCCCCAGCAACCACAAGCTGGTCTCCCTATGGGAGCTCTGGGTAAGAATATACCGGGTAGGTCCCCAGAAACCACAAGCTGGTCTCCCCATGGGAGCTCTGGGTAAGAATATAGGTCCCCAGCAACCACAAGCTGGTCTCCCTATGGGAGCTCTGGGTAAGAATATACCGGGTAGGTCCCCAGCAACCACAAGCTGGTCTCCCTATGGGAGCTCTGGGTAAGAATATAGGTCCCCAGCAACCACAAGCTGGTCTCCCTATGGGAGCTCTGGGTAAGAATATAGGTCACCAGCAACTTATCCCTGTCAGGAGAGGCTAATACGTTGATTGTACACAGGTTCAATTTGCGCTTATCATGTTGTTCACCATATTGTCCTGTCAATACACTTCATGCTTAAGGCCACCGTGTTGTTGCTTGAAAATTGTTGAATACAGCAGTAAACAACAAACACAAGCAAGCAAACAAACAAACAAACAAACAACCAGAAAGTACTTGCTTTGTCAAAATACACTATCTGCATGAGTGTTTTAGTATTAGATTTGATCTAGAAGTAGCAAAACTTCGGATATCATTGGTTTAAGATTATTTCCTTTTCCCCACAGACCCTACCTGAGAAGCTGCCTGGCCCTATGCGAATGGATGTGGGTTTGTGTGTTGGCATGGCCAGCCAGCCTGTCTGGCTGATCTTAATGCAGCTACTATGCATTGTAGTCAACTATTTAACATGGTTGGACTGAGGAAAGGTGTTGAGGTACATCCGATCCAACACAGATATTCAATTGCATGACATATTTTATGTACATTTTTTAAATTTGAAATTTAAAAGATTTTCAATGCTTGTCAGTATTTGTTAAGGCAATTCTTCCAACTGTTTATGAAATTGACATGCTTGTTATTAGTTACTTTATGTCTTTATTCCTCGGTTAAAAAGCCACTGATTTGTAGTGGCCCGATTCTTGATTCTTAGGTTTCAGTCATTCACGGCAGTGTTGACGCTGAAGTCTGTAATTTGTATTATACATTTTGGGGTACTCAGCTTGGCTGGTTCACTTGATCCATTATATTTATGGAGCAAATGTGAATATTCCAAGCTCAGTCCCAGCACATGACACCTATGTTAGCCTCCCAATATCAACAATGCTCTGTGAGGAGCTTGTTAATTTTCCATTCAAGGGAGACAATTCTTGTAGGTATTAATGGGATGGGTACTACCAAGGGGAGGTGTGGCAACTTACAGCCTACTGTAGTATTTGCTCATGTAGGTGTAGAGGTAATATGTTTTAGCATGCTTGCATTGAGGTAGTTTGACACACTGTGATACATCATGTATATTCTATCAATACGGACGAAAGGTTAGGGACCGTTCATAATTTATGGCAGGGGCGGTGATGATGATTTGTATGGAGAAGCATGATGATGATTTTATGGAGAAGCATGTACAATGTGAATGAAACACAAAACACACACCAAAAAACTCAGTTCCATATTTCTAAAGCATAATTTTTATGTACAAAATTGCTTCTCTTCCCTCCACCCCCCGAATCATATGTACAAAATTGATGACCCCCTACCTCCCCAGAACAAAATGGGTGACCCCCCTTAAAATCATCATAACCACACACACACACACACACACACACACACACCATAAATTATGAACAGTCCCTTAATGTATCAGCGTTGAGGACAATAACTGTAATACTGTTCGAAGTGGCATTTAACCGAGCTCACACTGAATTAACATAAGCAGTGTTCAAAACCAGACTTTAAAGTTATAGGGGTTCACTTCACAGCCCCTAAGTCTTGACTGACGGGAGCCATACTAAACACATACATAAGCTGCTTTATATTTCCTAGCCTGGATAAACATGCTTAATTTAATTCCCTGGTGTCAAAACTAAATGAAAACTTGTTAAGTAATGTCTTTTTTTATTCTTGGTTGTGATATGTACTGAATGAATGCCAGGTGACGTGAATATTAATTACTGATTTCTGAAAACAATTCGTCCAAAAATAATTGAAATCTGTGAAACAGCTGGACTAATGGCAATGTATGAAATAAGCCAAAAACCCAGCCAGACAACAGGGCTGGTAACTTCAAAATGTTACCAGCCCAAAATGGATTTAACCAGACCAGACACCAAGATGTGGTGAATTTGCTCAAATGTATGGAACATCTCAAATTTGCACAAGACCGTCGGGCTGGCGAGCTGTAAATTTAGACCGTCCATCAGAAATCTAGCCAGTCTCTGGCGGTCAGGCCTTATTTCATACGCTGCTAATGGCAGTCAATGTTCCATCAGTCCTTGAAAATGTCCCTTCCTCCAGTTTGTGTCAGTGTATACTGCTTTGTAGCAAAGTAAAGGTATATGTTCCCTGTTTCTTGTTGGTCAGCCATGGAAATCGTCCTTGTGATCGCCATCAGGGTTTGTGATTTTGTCAGGGTAATGTGATCTTTTGGTTTCATTTCTCTATCGGTTTAGAGTAATCCTCTTTGCAAAATGGCTACATTGTTGCAATTTGAAGTAAGATACTGATGTTTGAACTGATGTAGTTATGTTATCTCTGCTTCATATTAAATATGACAATCAACGTTGCCGTCATGAGCCTGAACCATATCATAATCTAATTCTAACAAGATATGTTTTCAGTTCAGTCAGTTTCACTGTACTTGTTTAATAACAAACACAGCCTTAGAATTATTTTTTTTTTATTCTCTAATCTAGTCCAGAGGATGAGTTGAAATCTGGTTTTGCTAGTCCAAAGGGGGAAAGTGTTTGGTGCGTTCACATTCCCTGTCAGTCTTACTCAGTTCAAACTTGTCCTGGTTCTGAATTACACCTGTCAACTGCTACTAGCCATTAAGGGACTATTATCATGGTACTTCATACCTCAGTTTAGTAGAGAGGGCCTAGCTGACTGGATGTATAATGGTTCTGAACCATGTTACCTGAAGCTTTACTTCTGCAGATGCAGGGTTACAAGACAAGTGTCCTCGTCACAGCACTAGTATTGACAGTGAAAACTTAAATGGTCCTTTTGGTCTTGGCGTGCTATTGTGATACTCAAATACTGTGACAACCCAAAACTAAGATCCTTCATCAACAGACATTTTTTGTACATGATGGTTGTGGTGCCCAACTTGCCAGGACTGTAGGCCAGTACTCAAATTTGTGACCCATGATGTGCTGATGTGACCATTGGCTATCGTGACCCATCGGGTACTGATGTGACCCATTGTGGGACCCACACTGTATCGATGTGACCAATGGGGTACTGATGTGACCCATTGTGTGACCCATGTGCACTGATATGATTCATGGTGTACTGATGTGACCTGTGGTGTGTGTGACCCATGTACTGATGTGACCTGTGGTGTACCGGTTTGACCCATGGGGTACTGATGTGACCCATGGTCTACTGTGTGACCCACACTGTACCGGGTGTGACCTGTGGTGTATGTGACATGGTGTACTGATGTGACCTGTGGTGTACCGGTGTGACCCATGGTCTACTGGTGTGACCTGTGGTGTACCGACCTGTGGTGTATGTGACCCATGGTTTACTGATGTGACCTGTGGTGTACTGGTGTGACCCATGGTGTACTGGTGTGACCCATGGTGTACTGATGTGACCATGGTGTACTGGTGTGACCCATGGTGTACTGATGTGACCATGGTGTACTGGTGTGACCCATGGTGTACTGATGTGACCTTTGGTGTACTGGTGTGACCCATGGTGTACTGATGTGACCCATGGTGTACTGATGTGACCCATGGTGTATTGATGTGACCATGGTGTACTGGTGTGACCCATGGTGTACTGATGTGACCTTTGGTGTACTAGTGTGACCCATGGTGTACTGATGTGACCCATGGTGTACTGATGTGACCCATGGTGTACTGATGTGACCTGTGGTGTACTGGTGTGATCCATGGTGTACTGGTGTGACCCATGGTGTATTGATGTGACCTGTGGTGTACTGGTGTGACCCATGGTGTACTGATGTGACCTGTGGTGTACTGGTGTGACCCATGGTGTACTGATGTGACCTTTGGTGTACCAGTGTGACCCATGGTGAGTGAGTGAGTTTTAGCCATTATATGATGGTTCTTTAAATACTATCTCTTGTATCATATCTTCATTGACTTATAGACTACATTCCTGAGTTGATGGTTTCCATGCTCAGACATTTCACAGGTTTAGAAAGTTCGTTTTTTCATTCAATGTTTTTTGGGGAGACTACTCCAAGAGCCTGGTTTGACCTTGTTTCCCGAGTCCTCAGTGTGTAGCTAGTCATACTTACGCCAGAAAAACGTAGTTGCCATGCTTACATGTTCTGCCTGTTAGAAAACTGAAGAAAAGGTTCAAAATTCAGGGATGAGAATTTTCCACGGATCCGCGGAATTCCGGGAATTTCACAAGGCCAAGGGTCAATTTTGTGAATCGTCTAAATCTGTTGACAACTGTATGAATGTGCTTCAGCAGATTTAAAGTTTTAATTGTTGCTGTGTTCATGATATTGTCATTTCTGAGCCAGTTCTAAAGGTCTAAAATGCCTAAATATCAGGAGCTTCGGCTACTTTTCTCACAACTTCATTCTCATCACTGAAAATTACAATGTAGACCAACTTTATGGATAACAACTTCTTATGGTTGTTATCCATGAAGTTTATGTATATTGTACTTCCCAATTCTAAAATGTCACTCAAAGTGGTTGGAAATTATATCATGCAAATGTTTCTAGTCCATAAGGAATGTAATTATTGGATGTGTGCATGTCTTCAACGCAACGTAGTTGTCTGGGGCTAGTGGGCTAGAGAATTTTGATGGCTCATTTCACAGTGATCTTTTTATCATAGAAAAGTATAATACTTTATGGATAACAACTTCTTTTTTTCTTATGATGCGACGTTTCGGTATAGCTTCTTATACCGTTGTCAAGCAAGAGTATTGCTTGACAACGGTATAAGAAGCTATACCAAAACGTCGCATCAAACAAAAAAAATAAGTTGTTATCCATAAAGTATTATACTTTTCTATTATCCATCAACTTCTAAAGTGCCAATCAAGCAGATGATCTTTTTATCGTGTGAATAGACAAGTGTCATAAAACATGTTTCAGAATCTTGTTTTACTGAATGAGGTGAACTTTTAGGATTAGCAAGTTTCTTAATAAAGTTATAGATACAGAGTTATGTCCCTTTTATAGATCAACACATCCTAAACAAGTTCTTTGGAAGGTGTGTTTTTTCCAAATATTTTGGGTCGAGATGAGTGTATTCCAGTGTGACATTTTTCCCATTGATGAAACACTTTCTGTCAAGTGGACTTCATGGTCCTAAAAATATCCCAATTGTTCCACGGTTGGTATTCTAAACTGTTTGTTTATTTCTTAACTTTAGTTTTGCTTTTTGTTGTGTATTTTTGTGAATGTCCGACCAATACATTCCTCTAGGTAGGTAGTAGAACAAGAAAATTTAATGATTTAATGTTTCGTCCAATCATATTTGAGCTTAAGATGTCCAGATGTAATATGTTATAATCAGACCTTTTATTCCATAGCGGATCAGGTCAGGTGAACCTCAACTGGTGTTGATGAAGGATGTGTGTGTGTTCAGATGTCAACTTTGTAACACAATTTTGGGCTGTGGTTAAAGTGTTTACCCATTATACCTAAGCCATGGGTTTGATTCCCCAGATGTGCACAATGTGTAAAGCCTACCGTATTTCTTGTATTCCCTTCTGAGACTTTGAAAGAATTTTGCTGAAACCTGAGTAAAATCTCATTTGTTCACTCAGACATTTCAGCTCCATTTTTTGGACAACCTTGATTCGTCAAAAAAAGATCACACAGCACTCAAATGTTTCTTATGTCATCGTCCCTTGTGAGTTTAGAAAGTTCACGGACACAACATCCTATGGAGGTAACTTCTGACCTTAAAAGGAAAAGGTAAAAAGACTGATTCTAATTTGATTGGTCGGACAAAGTTCTACCATACCTGTGTGTCAGCATTTTATGATTGCATAGAGATGGCCGTAGAATTTATATATGTGGTTGCCAAATTTATCTTTGAAGATGAAATCATGAATTCCTAGTTTTAATGAGCATGTGATAGGATTCAGTTGTGTGGTATAATTTGTACCATGAAACAAGGAACAACAGGGAACATAGTACAATTTTACTAGTGGCCATGCCTTTGAGAGAGGATTAAAACATGTTTAAGAGTTCCAACTCCACAAACTTCAATCTCAATAAGGTGCATGTTAGTTCTTGCTGCCTTAAAACAAAACTCCAAGGGCGTCCCAAAGGTCATGTTAAAATGACCTTTCATTTGACCAATCACAGCATAGTTTACCAGATGAGTAAAGCAACAGTCGGGATGTATTTTCCAATCATACACCCTTGAAAGAGTTAACATGCTTTGTCCCAGTGAAAATCATTGTCTGTCATTCACTTCATTTGGATGAACATTTAAACTAAAGAGATGTCCTGCAGGAAGTCCGGCATACAATCCCTGTCATCAATTGGATTTTCAAGAATATTCA